GCAAGGTGGAAGTTTCGCGCTCTAGGCGAAACTTCCTTGCACCGGCCCTGACTCTAGTGATCAGGGCCTGGGGCCAGGCTGCAGAAGACCTAGTTTTTCTAGGTTTTCTTTCTAGTTCTGCCACAGATGCGCCATGTGACCTGGACCAAGTCTCCGTGCCTAGGTTTCCCCATCTGCTAGATGGAGCTAATGCTTCTCTACCTTGTGCGCTTCAGGCGCGAGGCTGCATACAGCAGGAGTGCAATATATTGGCTGTTAGTAGGGATGGAAGAAGAGTGTGTGGGGAGCTGCTGGTGTTTTTGCCCTTCCGAAGAGAGGTGGGCTAGTCGTGGGTTTCAGGTGCTAGTCTGTGACTTGGGAGAGCTGGGTTCAATCCCCAGCTCTGCCACAAACTCCCTGTTGGACCTCGGCTGATTCGCTTAGTCTCCTAGGCCTCAGTTCCCTACCTGTAAAATGGATAACAGCCTACTACACTTTCACTAAGCGTCCCTAGAGTTACACAAGTGCGAGTGAGACACCAGTTAGGCCCTGCATCCTTCGCAGGGTGCTACTGTGAGGTACCATCATGTGTGACACACACGGATATGCAGAAATGGCTGTCAGGGAGGAGAAGTAGATGCTTTTTCAGGAGGGATTCCCACTGGAGCCAGTCCTGGATGGGGAGAGAATTTCTATCCTGTCAGTGAACTGTGTTGTAAACATGTGGAAAACTTCCCCATGCTGTGCCTCGGTTTCCCCTAAGTGCTATCATAATACTGGTGATAACCCCCCCCCCGACTTGGCTCTCCAAAGAGAGGAGCCCTGAGCTTGCTGAAGGGAGAGGAAATGCCTGTGTGAAAGGTAACTGTGCAGACGCCTCTGCCACCCCTGGCCAACAGCAGCCCGAGTGCTTAGTCTGCTATTTATTTGTGTTGCTCTCTGTTTTTGCTCCCTCTCCTGGCCTGGAGTGAATATTTTCATTGGCACAGCCGGGGCTTCAGGCTTTTCCCACTGTTCCAGCAAGGTGAAAAACAAGACAGCCGCAAGCCCCCTTGTCTGGAACCTGCCGCCACCCCTGCCCAACCTCTGAGCTCCCAGGGCCAGCGCTGGCTGTGAGGTGAGCTGGAATAATAAAGCTGCCGGGCGTGTTATTGTTTCATGTTATGATGAGGCTGGCCCTGGCTGCCCCAGTGACCCGAAGTGCCGGCCAGGGGCTCGCACAGCTGTGGGAAGCTGCCTTCATTGCGCTCCAAGAACAACAGAGAGGAGTTAATTTTCACAGCGAGCCATTTCCAGGGGGCAGCCAGGATAGGCTTGGGAGCCAAGGAGACAACCGGGCCCTGCTTCTGTCCGTGTGCCTGGAGTGACACAAACAGGCCTGTTTCCCTAGAAGGAGGGCAGGCCGCCCTTGTACAAATAAAAGGTTGCAGCTGATAAGGGTGATGAATGGAAAGGAACCACTTGCTCTCCCCTCTGCACAGGCCTGGCGGGGAGATAATACGCTTCAGTACTGAGGCCTCTGCTCCCCCTGTGCAGCAGCCAAGCGGAGAGTGGGGCCGCAGGGCAGTGAACTGGGCCAGGAGTGGAGCTGGCTGGTACCGTGGCAGCACTGGGGCTGGGTTGATGCCACGTTCTGATTTAAACCCCAGAGGAGCACGGCGCCCCAGGGTG